CACTGTACTGTAACTTGGCAATGAAAGCCTTTGCTTAGATAGTGTTTCCCTTTGCAGGGAATAATTTGTTAAGTAAAATTCCTAGGATTATGATCACTGCGTTAAATTATATAAACACTCGAACGGCTCTTCGACTTTTGCCAAATTGCTTTTTAAAAGTCTACAGCAATCGTGCTACCACTTCACCGGCGTCAGCCTTGTCTCACCCTTTTGGGAGTCCAGTGAGTGAGCAGTCACCCCTGCAGCCTGGGTGACACCGATGTTTTCTCTCTCACTTGTCGCTTCTCAAGCTTTGTCCATGTGGGTGCCCTATCAGGTTGGCAGTATTTTTAACATGCAATGAATTACCAAAGCAATCTAACATTTATTTTAAAACAACAGCCCAGCTTCCTGGAGTTTTACTGTTAGGAAATAAGTGAGTCAGAAATAAAAGCAATGACATATCAACTGTTTATTATAATACCCTCAATAAGAGCCAACAAATATAAACAGTGTTAGTGTTTGACCGAGAGGGGGTGGAGAAGATGACATACAAGGCCAAAATTTGATGAAATTTTGTTTGTTATTTTGAGAGAGGATCTAGCAGTGTTGCCGGGGCTGGTCTCCAGCTCTTAGGCTCGAGCCATCCTCCTGCCTCTGTGTCCTGAGTGCTGGGGCTACAGCCGTGTGCCACTGTTCCTGGCTTCTATAGAATGAATATGCATCCCTTACAATCATGGTTATGAAGTCTGCATAGGCACCTACAGAAATGTTTATAATTCTAAGTAAAGTGAAGTTTCACCTGTGTTGATACAGTTGAGTGGAAACGCATCTTCCTATAGACAGAAAAAGCGTGGAAGGTCAGTCTAGAGTCACATGGCTTCTAGAGGGAGAACAGGGTCCGCCGAGCCTTACCGCACTCTGCTAATGTTCCCACGCCTTTGAGAATAAATATCAACAAGGAAGGATAAAGACTCAGATCCATCTGGTAGAAAACACTGACATGTGGGGAGAGGCTGGAGCCTCCAGTCGGGCTGAGTGGAGCTCTCGGGGCTTCTGAGAAGTAGAGATGACCTCTTCCCCAGCCCCTGGCCTGGGAAGTGTTCAATGTGATTTTTTCTTTTAGTGTTTATGGCTAGGTGTCTTGCAGTTTGAAGGTCTCACCGGGATGCCTGGGGTCTGGTCCTGCTGTCAGTCACTGACTGACTTGTGTGCCACCAGACCTTGGGTAAAATGAATGGCTGTGGAGACCCACGGGTCCTAAGGTGGTGCAGGGCCTGTGTGGGCAGGACACAGAGAATCTCCTGCCGGTGTATTGGGCTGTGAGACTCCACACCCTCATGGCTCCGACTCACTTCCTCCAGCTTTAACTCCAGCCCCTGAGTGGCACCCAGCCCTCTTGTAGTCAGTGCAGCTGGCCCAGCTCTTCTGCCGTGAGTGCCCTGTGGGATTCATGTGCAGCTCACTCCACCACCTGGCTCCTCTCCACTGCTATGGCCCTCTGCCCTTTCAAGGCACAGCTGGAATGTCACCCAAGGCTGCTTCGATCTTCCACCCTCAGCACTCCACAGTCACGGTCTGTGTTCCACATAAGCTGTGTCTTACCCACAGAGTGCTCTTGGTAGGGATGTTTGTGTGAGGCCTGGGTTCAAATCCCAGCCCTGCCACCTACCGGTGTGGAGCCTGAGAACAAGTTCTTATTGCTGTGGGTCTCAGTTTTCTCATCTGCACAAGGAAGCATTAGTGAGAATCAGGACACCTGTCCTTGTGTCTGGTTTGTGTAACAGTCATTAATGTCTGTTACCTTTCACTTTATCTCCTCTTTTATCTTTACAATGGTCCCCTTATCTGGTTTTGCTTTCCATAGTTTCAGTTACTCACTGTCAGCATCTGTCTGAAAATATCAAATGGAAAGTTCCAGAAATAAACAATTAGTAAGATATAAATTGCGCATCCCAGTGGTATGCTGAAATCTCAGACTGTCCTGCTCTATCCCACCCAGCCTACTCAGTGTATCCACCCATGCATGCTGCCAGCCCATGAGTCACTCAATAGCTGTCTCTGTTACCAGATCAACTGTCACAGTATCACAATGCTTGTGTTCAGGGAACCCTTATGTACTTAATAATGGACCCAAAGCATAACAGTGATGCAGAAGGGGGACCGGGGCATAAAACAAGGCAGGACAGGTGGACTCTGGTGTGGCGTGGTGATGCTGCAGGGCACATAGGGAAAAAAGAATGCACGGAATGTGGTTTGGTGCTTTCTGTAGTGTCAACCATTTGCTGAACATTTGAAGTGTACTCCTAAAGATAAGGGAGCCTGGGGGACTCTGTGTGGATGTGTTGTTTAGGCATTTTATCAAAATGAAATATATAAATTTCATGTGTGGTTTATGCACATATACTGAAAGTTTACATTTTTTTTCCAAAGTGATATATGTATGTACCTGGCTTCAGATTCAAATAGTAGCAGAGTTCAGAATTAAAAGCAGCTGCCCCTGTATCACCTCCTTCCTCCCACTGGAATTTTCCACTGCATACTCTGAAATCACACACTTTTACTACAGAAAATCAGAAAGTGCAGTCAAGCAAAAGAAACCCAAGTAGAACATTTCAAATCCAACTTTCCATTTGAAAATGTCTTCTTCCAGGTAATGTAGCACATAGTTTTTCTCCAAGCAAGTCCTTATTGTATTCTCTCCTGCACATTATATCTCTAATCGTAGTCTGCCTTTAATGAAGGGAACAAAAGTGATGTTTGTTGAGTGAAAAAGGGACAGTGAGTTGCTCTTGGTACCCCAGGTATGATCCAGAGACCAGCGGCTGGGGCACCACCCATGCAAAAGCTAACCATAGCAACATCTTCAACCTTCCCTCATCCTCATCTTGCAAAAGCTGTGGCGACTGGACAGCCCACCGACACTGCAAAGGGCCTTGTAGGTCAGAGCTACTCAAAGTCGCAACCCGCGAACTATTTGGTACAGTCCTGGCCAAGAGATCTGAGCCAGTGTAAACAGCACACTGCTTCCTTTATAGGGAAAGACTTGCTGCAAAACACTGTCAGCTGAGCTAAACAATGTGATTGATGAGGTGGGTGATTTACATTCTGGCCCAAGCTCCTTATCTTGTCAGGGACCAGGGACGTGCAGTTTGTGGGCTTGGCATCCTTGGCCGGCCACACTTAGAGCAGCATAGATCACACATTTGGGAAGTGGGGGCTGGGACTGAGTTGCTCTGGCTTTAGATCCTGGCCTCTTCCACCTAACTGTGATGTGCAGGCACATGCATACACACAACAGGCAATGCTTGTACACACACACACACACACACACACACACACTTACACTTACACTTACACACTTACACTCACACTGTTCCAGAGATGGTAATTGAGAATCACTTGCATCTGACTTAGACGAAGCCCCGCTTGCCCTGTGTGTTCATACAAGGCCTCTGTTTACACTGAAAGCATTTCCCATGAGGATTAGGATCTCTTTATCAACTCCTGTCAGAGCCAAACTCGCAGGGCCTCTGGAATCAAGAGAGGCAGAGCCCAAAGGCTGATGGGCTTGGAAGGAGACAGAGAAACAACTGTTTTGATCAGTGCAAGTTGGCAAGGCGTACTGTCCTCTCAGATCCCAGCATCCACGTCTTATGCTGTATCCACAAACTCTAGGCCGGGCTTATGCCTGTGCTGATGGGCAGGTGAATAACACATCAGCCCCTGGGAAGGCATGGATTAGCAGAGTCAGAGCCAGCCCCAGCTAAAACAATCTGTGACATGCAGTCCAGCCTCAGCGTCCCCTTTCCCAAGGCATCCAGGAAGTCCCATAGATCTAGACCCCAGGGTTCTTATGTACGCAGTTGTTGAAAAGACTCAGAACCCTTCATGCGGCACAGTTTAGCTTAAAATTTTTGAGTTTCCAGGACACTATTCTCTGGCTGTGTGACCTTGGAGAAGTTCGTCTCTCTGAATGTCAGTTTCCTCATCTGTAAAATGGGACATAATATTGACCTCACCAAGGATATGGTCAGGGCCACAGCGATGTCTGTGAAGTACCTAGCACTGACTCATGCACTTGTTCATTCATCCCTTCGCTCACTTGTGTACTCTTTTCGTCTGTACTGAGCACTCTCCGGGTGCTGGTGGTGGGAATTCAAGGAGGCATTGGAGCACAGCAGGGAAGATGGAGACAGTTTCAAGAACCAAACACCACCCAAGCAAGCTGCTTGCTCTTGTAGGTGCTACCAAAAAAAAAAAAAAAAAAAAAAAAAAAGTGCCAGAAGAGGGCTGGGGGTGGAGCTCAGCAGCATGTATGAGCTCTGGGTTCAATCCCCAGCACTGCAGAAGCAAACAAAGCAACAAAAAACAGTACAAGAAGCCTGTGTTAGGGCCCCATCTAACCTTGGGATGGAGAATGTTTCACCAAACCAATAAATCCGAGCTCAGATCCTAAAGATGGGTGTTCCAGAGGCTGTGAGGGTTACACATCATCTGTTCCAGAAGTTTGGCCAGAGAGTTAGAGTTGGGTTTATTTTACTTTTTGAAGTAAAATTGACATGGAGCAAAACACATAAACCAACTAGATATGTCTTGACATGTAGCCTACATTCCTACTGGTACATAGAACATTGCTGTCAGATTGGGTCTGTCTCAGTAACTTTCCTTACTTGTTATAGGAGTTAGGAAGCTGAGTTCTAGGGGCCAACTAGGGGTTTTGGCTGGATTTAAATTCAGACCCAACTGCTTTCTGCCCAAGTCTCTCCATTCCTATGCGACTTAATTTCCTTACCCTGTGAAAGAGGGGTAATGAAGCCTACTTTTGCTGGGAGGTTTAAGGGATGGAACTTGCAAATGGCTGGAAATGCATTGTAGGCATTCTAGGGAGTTGCCCTTTTGGGAGTTTCCAGAAGAAAGGGTGGTAGGGTGAGGTCCGCTTTTGCTGATGGCCTTGAGGTGGGGGTTGAGCATTCCCCCGAGGCAGCAGTGATATCTGGACGCCTTCTCTCTCTCCTCAGGGATGTGTCTGCAGGCGTTCATCGAAGCCTTCTTTTTCCTGGCCCAGAGGAAGTTCAAGATGCTGCCACTCCACGAGCAGGTGGCCTCGCTGATCGACCTGTGTGAATACCACCTGTCCCTGCTGGACGAAAAGCGCCTGGTGTGTGGCCGGAGCGGCACGGTGGGGGGACGGTCCCCCCCCCACCTCCCCCACCAGGACACCTGCCCCCCACCCTGCGCAAATGGTGCTGACAAGTTCTCCCATCCCAGACCCACTGTCCCCTGAAGGCCCCTCTGTCCTCCCAGAAGAAGACAGTGCCCTTCAGGGCTGAGGATAGCCCTGGGATTCTGCCGGAGAAAGGACGGCAGGCAGGCTGCCAGGGTCCCCGTCTGTGACTCCCGTCGTTCATCGCCTCTGTGTTCTGCTGAGCTCCTGCTTTGCAAGGCTGATTCCTGCCACCTTCCTCCCGGCACCTCTCAGTGACACAGCCTGTTTGCCAGTCATCAGTGGACACATGACATCTGAAACGTGACAGATGGCACCTTCTATTCTGGGCTCACAGGAAGACCAACTGCAGCACGTCTATTGTGTTTGGGGTGGGAAGGCACAAACAATCCCCAAACTGAGCGCTATAGAGAAGAAGCCGAGCCCTGGATCTGCTGGGGCCCCCGAGAGCTGCTGGTTAACTCCAACCAGCATCATGCTCATTTCCTACCCTGCAAAAATGAAGTGGAAAGCTCAAGAAGGCAGGTGTGAAGCCCCGTACCCAGTCATGTACTACACAGGTGTGGTTAACAGATCAGCCTCATTTATTTCATTACCTCACCTGTTGCTGCGATGTTTGGTTTGTTACTAATTAAGAAATAATTAAGGTGTAACGGAGACTCCTGCAGCCTGAGAGCTGGTGGGAGCTTCAGTGGTCATTTTGTTTGATTTTGTTTAATCTTGACCCCCAAAGCAAGGATCCCATCTTCAGCCTGGCTTTTCTGTGGCTCTGAGTGGACCTCTGCAAGGGTGGGGCAGCAACCGAATGGTCAGGGGTCCCTGTGTGCCCAGCACTGTGTTGTTGGCTTCAGAGAGGACTTGAGGCCCAGATAAGATCTGAGGTAACCAGAAGTGTGCGTGTTGAAAGTATGGTGGCCTGGGCCAGAGCATTTGGTGTTCCCCAGGGGTCCCCTGTGAGAAGCAGAGTAGGGAGACCCCTCACCTGCAGAATGCAAGGATTTCACCATGAAAGGCCCCAGAGGATGTGCCAGGAGATTCACTACCAGCTGGGGGCTGCGGAGTCTTTTTCAATAGCTCACTTCTTGAAGTGGCTCTGTGGAAAGTGCTTGCTTGCCAAAATGGAGCACCGTCTTCAGGCCTGAATCCCAACCAAGCACACTGGTGGGACAGGGGGAAGATCAAGAGGCTGAATTCCAGCCGCACTGTGTGGAGTGATATAAAAATGTCAGCACCCAGGGCGAGCAATGTCCACTCCACCCCGCGCCTCTCATCTAGAGGCAGGTCACCGTCAGTTACAGGGCCCCCCTGTCCTATGGACAGGGCCCTGGGAGAGCCCAACACCCTGGAGGACACAGCCCCCGCAGTGATTATCAGACACATGAGGCCGCTGTCTGAAGAGCGGCCTGTCAGTGACGAGCTGGGCCCCTGTTCCCCAATACTGCTGGTCAGGAAGAATTTTGAGGGCTCTCCATTGTCAGATCCAGTGTTATGAGACTCCTCCCACCCTTGGCCCCCGTGGGAAGTCTCATCGAGTTTGCCCCTTGGTAACCAGCCACTTATTTGCAGGGTGGGATTGAAATGAGAGCAAAAACAGATGGTTCCTTCTTCCTGGCAGAGGGAGACAGAGACAGGGAGCCTGGCCTGGCTCCGATGCCTCTCTGTGTTGGGACTCAGAGACTGTGCTTGACTGTGACATGAGCCCATCCTTTGGAAGCTTCCTTAGGGTCCATCCCAGCCCTTCTCTCTCCCACTCTTGCCTGCCCTTTTCCCCTTCCTGCTGATGCCACACTGACGCTTGAATGGGCACGCAGGCTGAGTTCCCAGAGAGCTAGTCCCTCCCGAGGGGATGGAAAGAATGTATACGCAGATCAGGCTCGGCTGGGGCTCCGTCTGGGGTGTGCGCCCTGAGTATGTAAGTCAGGGGCAACTCCAGGACGGCAGCTTCTTCTGGAGATCAGGCTGACCAACCCAAATGGGCCCCAGCCAGCCTTTCCTGGGTGCCACTCTGGCCCCTAGGGTGAGCACAGCCAGCTTCCTCGCGCCTTCACACTGCCCTTGCCTGCTGCCTTCCTCCAGCCCCCAGGGCACTGGGCTCAGCTTTTCTGCTCTTCAAGAGGAGCGTTGTCCTCACTGCCCTGGCCAGAGGGAGCTGCAGAAAAGCCCCAGGTCCAGGGCAGCTGGTGGCCAGCATGGGTCATACATAACAGGACCCTCGCCGTGGGAAGAGGCAGGGCCCCCTGGAGACAGAGTCCACACTGCCAAGCCGGCCTCCTCAGCTCCTCCGTCCACGCTCCCCAGCTCAGACTCACCATCGCTCCCCTGGGTTCCACAGCATCCCTGCCTCTCAGCCCTGCCACCCTCTCTGACCCCATCATCTACATCAGCCAGGGGGGAACTGGAGAGCCCTGGATTGGACACGATGATGAGGGCTGCCCTCGGCTGGGCCCTCATAACCAAGTCCCTCTCTCTCCACAGCTGGCCCCCGCCCTTCTTGGGCCTGTCTCCTGCAAGGCTCCCAGGGCTCTGTCTGTCTGTCTATCTATCTATCTATCTGTCATCAGACAGGAAGACACTGTGCCCCTGCCCTTGCTGCTCCCTCTGGGCAATAGCAGGACCCACGCCTCTCTCAGGGTCCAGCTCAGGTACAGCCCCAGCACAGAATGAACGGCTTCCTCTGTAGAAACTTTCTTTCTCCCTGTGTTTCCCTGGGACCGCAGCATTTGCTCCTGCTCAGGCATGACTTCCTTCAAGGCCAGGCTGGTGTTGGATCCATGTAACCCCAAAGCACAGAGCAGGGGCCGAGAGGCCTTCCTGAGATCATGAGGTATTGGGCAGTCCTGGTGAGGGGACCACGTCACCACACCCTCTCTCCCCAGAGCCTGCAGATGCCCTTGCAGACCATGCACTGTAGGCCTTGCCAAGCTGATTCTCCAGGCACCTCCAGATTCCAGCCTGGCTCATCCTCTCTCCAAGCAGAGCAGCCATTACCCACCCACCCCATCCCAGTGACAATGGCTTTTCTGACACTGGGAACCTCTAACTGGCCAAGCTGCAGGTGCCCAGGCTCAGGCCTTGGCCGTGTCCACCAGGGAACTCCCTCTCTTTCTGTCCTGGAGACTGAGGAGGACCCCCATCCCCACTGATGGCTCCCACACTGTTCCTCAGTGGGGTACGCAGCCTGTCCCTCCAACTCTACATCAGCTGTGTCTGTGTCCAGTGCCTCACTCGGAGAAGGAAGCCCTGCTGTGGCCATGTACAGCCAGGGAATGGCACTGGCTGAGACTGGGAAGGAATCGACAGTCCAAGGACGAATTCCCTTACAACCTGTGCTCACGGTTTATGAAGCACTTAGAAGTTTGTCTTCTCATCTTGATCCTCTCAACCCACCCACTGAAGGCCGCTGATGATCATCACTGTCTTTTCTGATGCCCAGGAGGCTATACTGCTTGTGCTAGGTGTCTTGGCCAGTGAAGGGCAGAGCCATGATTTACCCAGCAAGGCCCCTGGCTGCAGAACCCTCTCCTCTTTCCTTGGCACCATGTGGATCTTGACCCCATTCTACAGACATGGGTTTTTGAGGAACTGCTTTTCTCCCACTCTAAGATGTTGAAAGCACCCCAGGAAGGCTCTGCAGGCTATGGAGACTATAAGGAGACTGGACTCACCCGTCCTGGGGTGATTTCATACCTCAACCTTAGGAACATTAGGCGAGACCATGGAAAACATAATGAATACGCAAGTGTCTTGTAAACCAAGGTACTACTGAGCTACAGTGTCACATTCCAAGGGTCTTCTGGCTTCCTATAAAGTGTAAACGGATGAAGGTAAAGCTCTCGTGAATAATGTTGCCGGCCAAGACAGATGAAGCCCAACTGGTCAGCTCTTCTCCCTCCCCAGTCCTTTTCCTCCTCACTTATGTAAAGACATTTGCAGGCTGAAAAAACGTCCCTGCCTGCTCCTCTGACGTCCGGAATACGCCTTGTGATTGGCAGTGTTACTCTAAATGAGCTTGATTTTTTTTTTCTTTCGTTTCTTGATTAATGTCCTATGTGCCTCAGCCCTATAACTGAAAACTGGGCTTGCAACATTCAGCATTCGAGCACCTTCTCTGGAAGCTCAGAAATAACAGACTCCCATCCGGGAGCTGTCCCTGCTCAGCAAGGGGACTCCCCACAGTGCGCACTAACCTACAGTCCACCTTGCCTTGGCAATATTTTTGCCAGTCTCCTACTTGGTTTGGTGAATGCAAGATAGATTTTCCCACATGGCATATGAATTTCTCCCTCACAAAGTAAGTCAAATCTTTTGTTTCTGTTTTTGTTTTGTTTTTCTGTTCTGGGACACAAAGGAGCTCTTCAGAATAGGCAACATATTCAATCGCCTTCATCCCTTATAACTCAAAGTCTTTATTTATTTATTTATTTATTTTTATTTTGGTACCAGGGATCCAACTCGGGTCCTTGCGCTTGTGAGGCAGGTGGCAGAACCACTGAACTAAATCCCCAGCCCAGTCTTGATTTCTATAAAACTTAGAAAAATCATGCAGCATAACGCATATACTTCCCGCTTGCACACACACACACACACACACACACACGCACACGCCGAACACCACTGAGCATTGCTGTGAGGTGGTAAAACCACTCAGATGTTTTCCTCATTTCTTACAATTTGCTTCTGAGTCCAATTCAGAGAGCAGAGGAAGAAGGGCTCTTTGCAACCCTGGGATAGGGGAAACACCTTCTCCAACCAGAAGGAAGGCATTCACTCTGATTCTAAACAGGACTGTGGCCCTGGGCTACAAGGACCTTGCTCCTTACTGCAGCTCTCTTGGGCCTGGCCCAGGCTGCGGGGATTTTTCCCCTTGGCAATATGTTACATCAGAATGGGGGAATTCCAGAAGAGATCTGAGCTGCTCTGGAAAGACCCAGGGCTTTGAAATCAGATGGACTTGGGTCTGGATTTTGCTCCAAGTGATCGTGGGCCACTGATTTCTCTCACGCCTATTCCTCACCTGTACAGCGGAAATCATGTCAAATGAATGCAAAGAGTCTGGTGAGGGGCTTGGCCCCTAGGAGGTGTCTTCAAAAATGTGTGCTGAGAGAAGCCACGGTCTCCATGTGCTGAAACTGTCACATGCCAAGGAACAATGGTGCCACCTCGTCAGCCCTGGCAGAGCTCCAGGAGGTCTTGTGAGACCCCTGCAGGTCCCAGCCTTCCTCCCTCTGTGCCCAGCACCACCTTTAAGAAGCTGCTGCTCGTGCCTCTTAAAAGCCTTTAAAAATTCTTTATTAAATTTTCATGGCGCATGAAGTCAAGGTTCTGTTACTTGGCCTCAGTTGTCTTGGTAACTTCTTAAAATGCAATAATAAAACAAAGCTTAGAGTTGCTAACCACAGGCTCATTGTATAATGGGCTACCGAGTATTGACAGTTTTTTCTGCGTGATAATTTTTGACAGCAAACCCACCAGGGTGGGCAATGTTGTTCATTTTGGATCAATTGGTAGGAAAAGGGCACCTTTTAATTTTTCTCTCCCCTTGCAGTTAATGTTTGCTTGGGAAGCTAATTACTGCCTCCAGGAAACTGAGATCCTGG